ACCACAGAATGGCTTTTCTACCCCAGTGTGGTGGTGCACGCCTATAATCTCAGCTCTCAAGAGGCTGAGGCTGGAGGATTGTTGTAAATCTGAGGCCAATCTGAGCTATGTAGTAGGTTCAAGACCAGCATAAAACTACATAATGAGATCCTGTCTCAAAAAAAAAAATCTTTCTAGTATCTATGGAAACAATCACAGAAATATCTATCTGAAATATTCTCTCTTAGTATCTTCAATTCCTTAAAAAAAAAAAAAATCTTGAACAAATACTCGTTAAAACATGACCTAAGCCTGACATAGTGGTGCAAGCTTATAATCCTAGCAGTTGGGAGGCTGAGGCAGGAGGATAGCTGTGAGTTTGAGGCCAGCATGGGCTATATAAGCCAGTTCAATGTCAGCATGCACTACATAGCGAGACCCTGCCTCTTGTGCTGGGGATATAGCTCAGTGGCATAAGTGCCTGCCTGGCAAGCACAAGGTCCTGAGTTCAATCCCCAGGGCCAGAAAAGAAAAAACAAAACAAAACAAAGTGAGACTCTGTCTCAAACCCCTCCAAAAGACAAAAACAAAAAAAACTCTAAAGTAAGACCTTGATTCTTTATTTCTGATGCTTATAATGTTGTTAACCAGGCACATAGTTATTAATAAAAATTAAATTCATATAAGCAGGTCCAGAGGTTACCAGAGCACACAGCCTTGAGAATTGTCCCTTGATTCACAAACAAGGAGCAAGTGATAAGAATGAACCTTGGCCAGAATTCTAAAAAGCCTATCAGAGTCTGAGGAGAGGAGTTGAATTATGGAAGTGACTCTAAGTATCAGAGGGAGAGAAGGCGCCATCCTGTGTTCCCACCCATCACGGACAACAAGGCAAATGATCCATTTTGTCCTATATCCGTTTCCATGCTTAGGTCATTTACATTTATTAAAATTGACTTATTTTAAGCATCATTTTAATCTATGTTTGTGATACATAATGATTATATTCACCATGGGCAATTGATACACGTACATATCTTAATTCTTTTTACATCCCTTAAAGTTAGAAATTCAGCCTCTTAGTCCCACTAACCACACATCAAGGCTTCCTTGCCGCATGTGGCTCGTGGCCCCCGTGTTGGGAACATGCCACAGATATAAGAGACATTCCTTCCATCCAAGAAGACTCTTTTAGCACTAATGCTAATCCAGGTAGAACAGAACCAAGAGGTTGATTTTGAAGAATATTTCTGAAAATTATACTCCTGTTCAGTTTGCTTCATTAGGAATAAAGAAGGAGGAGAAAAAGGAAGAGGAAGAGGAGAATGACCATGAAGAAGAGACAGAGCGCTCAATGCCCCACTGGCTGGAGTCAGGATGTCCTCACAGGGTGCCTGGGGTCACAGCACAGGACTAATTGGGAAGAAAGCAGTCAGGTAGCCAAAGCCACAAAACTGCTGCCCAGACTAATTTTATGCCACCCAATCTCTAAGCCACTCTGTGGTCCCGGTTGAGGTATGGTAATTGCCTTGATGCAATCTGGTTATTACTGTAAATTATTTACAACTAAAGGGCTTCAGGCTGGGTCTTTGTTTTGGAGAAGTTAGTGTCAACATCTACATTTTCCTCCTACACCAAATACCTTCCTTGGCCTGACTTTCATCTCCCCTCTCCTGCTAGGGTGGCAACTTGCCCCACCCCGAGCAAACGTGTGGAAAACATCTAGTTAATCAATTCTAGTATTAGGTTAACCTATTTGCAATTACCATCCTTGTAGGTCGAAATCATTCCATATCAGCAGTTTTATATGGTTTAAGTGGAACAGCTCTGGTGACAGTTCTAGACATCCCCTTTCTCCCTGATAAGCAGAGGCAGCCCAGGACACAGCCCACTGGAGAGACCCCATGGGTCAGTGCCAGTATTTTCTTTTTAAATAAGCAGGGCATTGTAAAGGTAAGCAGAAAAAAAATGAAAGTCCCTTAAGTGGCGAGTGGAGAAGCTGGGAAATAGGATCGACTTCTAAGAGTGATGGCTAACACTCACAGTGTGTTTATCACACGCTATTTTGCTGTTCTTTCCAATCAGTCATTTCCTCTTTGCAAGCAAACCTAGAAGTCACCGCTGGGTTTAGCCTTGGACTATGAAGGAGGAACCAGGCACAGAGCAGTGATTTGCCGAGAATCACACTGAGGGCAGTTGTGGGGGCTGGGTGGGTAGGGTTTGTTGGTTTCCAAGTCTACTTCTGCACGCTGAGCTCCCTGGCAGCGGTTGCAGGGTGGTTCTGGGCTGAGAGGGTCAGGCGGACTCCAAGGGTACTCTTGGGGGGTCTGTCAGGGAGCAGGGCAGACAGTGTGACAAGATCAAAGCCAGAGCAGGAGTGCAGGCCAGCAGGGAGGGCAAGTTGAGGGGGGTGGCATATGGGGAGGCTGGGGGATGGGTGGGCAGTGAGGCAGCCCCCAGATTTTGTGGGGGAGCAGAGCCACTGGGGCAGTGAGAATGAGGAGCTGGAGGAACCCCAACCAGAGGCTGGTTCTCTGATGGGTACAATTCTCTGTCTGTGTCTGTCTCTGTCTCATCTCTCTCTTTCTGTGTCTCTGTCTCATTTCTCTGTCTCTCTCTCCTTATCTCTGCCTGTCTCTTTGTCACTCTGTCTGTCTCTCTTCCCCCTTCTCTCTGTCTCTTGTCTGTCTTTCTGTCTCTCTCTGCTGTCTGTCTCTCT